ATATAAAGATAGTTGAAAGATCTAGAATTGTCCAAAATGAAAGTTGAAATGTAAACTGCCAACTAAAGGCCATATGACCACAGTATGGCTTTATTAACACCCTCTATATGCATAGAAATAAAATCACTAGGTTAGGCTTGTATAAACACTTCATCTCACCTTCATTTTAATTGTATTTGTCATTTAAAGCCATATCTATTCTCACTTAAACTTTTTCAATTGTTTTCAACGCCCATGTTGTTGCATAACATACAGATTGTTCCTGTTACTGGGATAGCAAGGATTTTGAAGTATTTAGGTCAATTTACCTAACAAGATAATCCTCTCTAACCTGTTGTTGGATTACAGTCTAAAATAAACATGTTGACATGATATGTCACTGTTGGTTTAATGTTTAATCCTGCATCATGATGAAAGTGAGCAGATTTTGTCATTAGAAGAAGACTAGCAGTGATTTCCCAAGGCTTATGCTGACACCACTATTTAAAGACAGAGGCCACTAAGGAAATGCTGGTGTTAAGTTTAAACTGAAGCTATTTGCAGCAGGTTAAGTTTTTAACCTGTTAGTGTAACGATCGCAGGTCTGTTTATCGGTTTTTCTTTGTTTTCTGGCTTTATTGATGTGTTTTGGATTTATTTAAGTTTCTTAGGTTTTTCTTTGCTTTTCCTCTGTTGCCTCCTTCTGTTTTCTTTTCCCTTGGCTTCCTCGTCAGCTCTACTCACACCTGCTGCCTTGCAGCAAGAAGGTTCTGGGTTCAATTCCCAGCCTGGGGTCTTTCTGCATGGAGTTTGCATGTTCTCCCTGGGTACTCCGGCTTCCTCCCAAAAACATGACTGTTAGATTAATTAGCTTCTCTAGATTCTCCTTAGGTGTGATTGTGTGCTTGAATGGTCGTATGTCCTGTTTGTCTCCATGTTTCCATGTGATGGACTGGCGACCTGTCCAGGGTCGACCCCGCCTCTCACCTGTAGACAGCTGGAGATATGCACCAGCATCCCTTGCGACCCCAATTGGGACGAGCGTGTTAGATAATGGATGGATGGATGGATGTCTCTGAGGTGGAAGAGACACAGAGGCATCTAACCTTGGACAGAGTCTTGCTCATTTGAAAAAATAGTCCACCTCCTGTGGAGTCCAGGTGCTGTAAGATGAAGTGAAAAGCCTTATTTATGGAATCATCAACAGACCTTTTGACCCTGTAGACAAACTGCAGTGGGTCCAGCAGTGGCTCTGTGATGGATTTCAGGTGACTCGGCACAAGGAGCTTAAAGGACTTAATTACCACAGAGGTCGGGGTGATTGGTCTGTGGTCATTTTTTTCATGTGGTCCTTTGTTTTTTGGAGTGGGCAGGGATGATTGTGTAGGCTTTCAAGGAGAATTGAATACAGCATGTCCCCGATAAGGTTGCAAAATTGTCTGTGAATACCAAAAATAATCTACCAGATGCTACACTTGCCTAAGAAATGGCTAACTACACTGCGACCCCATCTGAGCTATGCACTGTTTGTCCTACTTCCATCAGCAAAACAACATAAGAACGTTAGGGCTCAAGCAGGAAGCGTTCGTATAAACAAATGAATTCCTAAATTGTTCGTTTGAGTGATTAAGGGGAAAATGCTGCATTCACCATTTATCTCCTGAATCTAATCTTCTATCATTTCATGAGTCTCTCTGACTTCAAATCTTATGCAATCAGTTAGCTGTTATCCAAATCTAGTTTTTCACTAAAGAACTGAATTTGTCGTTACTTAGAAGCAATTTCCCATTTCATTAGGCCAAATCATTATATATTATGGTAAATTATATTTTTCTTCACTGATGACAGAAGTATTGGTCACAAAACCTGCCGCTGGCATGTTGGTAACCAGGGGAGACTAATTTGATTTGTTGTCATATCATCAAAAGAAAGAAAAGTCATTGAGCTCTATTTGAGATCAAGCTACTGTTGAAATGACGTCTCAAAAAGAAAATGGATAGAAAATTCAGCAAGGAGATTCAGTAACATGTTGCTGCCTGAAACGCTTCTAATGGTAAGACATGTATCCAGTTCAATTCTGGGCGCCGCCTTGGCTTCGTTTTTACACCAGATGTGAAATGTTTGGGTTTGGGTCTTCAGTCTTACAGTACACATGGACATGCAAAGTAGGTTAATTAGATTAAGCAGAATGTTGTGTTGGTTGATGGTGATCTCATTTTAAGCATTTCAATCATATGATGCACCTCTTGCCGCCACCAGTAGTTTTCATTGACTGTCTTACTTTTGCTAGAAATGTTTTTGCAGGTTTTTCAGATCTATTTCTTTTTTCTTACTTTCTAACATTGGAACCACGGCATGTACAGCTCTTGGGATTTTTTCCCCACTGATTGGCTTTTGCTGGGCATTAAATTCTGCTGTTCAGCTGTCATTCAGCAGAACCTGGATCTCCAAACTGGGAAAGTCTCTTTTCTTTGTCTTCAATGCCATTTCTGGGAATGAACACCATCTGACAAGAGCTGGAATTCATTGGCTGGATAATTTATGCCGTTATCTGAAGTTAAGAACATTTGTTAAATCTGATGTGGGGCACTCATAGGAGCCCACAGTTGTAGAAAAAGTTAAAGCTCTCCATATTATGTCATTAATCGTTTTTTTAACAGTTTCTTTCCTAAAGCTGTGAGGCAGTGGTAACCCCATAATCAGACTCTCATATCCCATCTTACCTTCACACTCATCAGTTCACACGGCCACATATAAAACTTATACTTGTGTAAATATTACATTTCCATGTACCTACTTATCTTTCTAAAGATGTTTCAAGATGGATGGATGGAGGGATGTTAAATTACATAATTAATTTAAGTTTTGTTTCTGTATTGTTCATATTTTTAATGATTTTTAGTAATAACGTTTTGCTTTTCTATAGGTGTTGCTTATTTCTATCTATTTGGTGCATCCCTACAGCTACTTGAAAGTGTTTGTGCAAGTAGCTGTAGGGATGCATTAACTATCATTTTATTTCTTTACTTCAGGGCAGCATGAATAGATTTTTCTCCAGACTGGTATAGATCTTTAAAGAATTGCAATGCAACAAAAAACAGGGACTGAGAAGTGGAAAGTGCAATAGCAAAAAATGGATTTGAGTCATGTGCTCACCTGTCAGTGGTCCTTTCTTGTATTGTTACTATGGCAACAGCAGTTTTTTTTTTTTTTTTTGCATTTGTGCGTGCTGTGCTGGGCTCTGATGTGAGCCTATGTGTGTTTAAGACAGGGGATGTAATTCTGCCTGTCACCAATGCAGCCCAGAGCGGACGCTTCAACTACTGGTTGCCAAGACACCAGGCAAACACATCACTTCTTCAGCGATAAGCCACTTTTCTCTGGCTTTATAAAACACTGAGTATATTAGGTATAAGGATGTTTGAAATCCATTATCAAAGTTTATTAGGAAATTGTTATGAAAAATAAGAGCCATCCTTATGATATCATTTTAAATCTAGTTATTAGATTCATGCTGTTTTTCTTTCTCTGTAGATTGCATAAACAGCAGATCATAGTAGACAGGTTAATTTAATACCTCTTGCTTACCCTGTCAGGCTAAACATTGTAATTATTAAACACAGTCAGGTCTTATGCTGTAAACTTCTAACCAATGACAATTATGATGTAGACAAAGTTTACACTAATGTGTGCAGATTAGGATTTAAAATCATTTTTGGTCATAAGAATTCGGTCTCCCACAGGAAATTAATGGGCCATTCCATATCTTCAAGGTTGGAACACCAACTCACCACCAGTCTAATCCTTCGCTCCCTCCAATTATTCATCTCCTTTATATCAGGATCCTGAATGGACTGCTCCAAAATGACATAATTAAAATAAACAAAATTAATGAAATTAAAATATTACTTTAAACTTCGATCTACCAGAGCTTAGAATCATTTCTATTACCTTTAGATGAAAACGTACCTTAATTTTGCTTACAAACAACTTTACAACTTTAACAAAACAATTAAAAGAGAATTTGGAAGATTGGACTTTTTTATATAATCTATGCTTCTTAATAAAACAGGTTCCAATCAATCAATCTCTCCCTGTTTGCTGTTTCTCAGCGTGTTGGCTGCCAACAGATGTTCCTGGTTTGTGTTTCATCAATTTGGGTCAAGATAACAGTTTCAAGAGTAGAACCCAGATATCCCTCTACTAGGAATATCTGTTATCTTATTTTAGGAGATCCCAGGATGTTAACACACCGGAATTTAAATGCAGTTTCTCCAGAATGTGTTTAGTCTGATTCAGGGTCTCCTCACAGTTTGTGCTGTTTCAAGAGAAATGATCTGGGTTTGTATGTTTCCAATAACGCCCATTATGCGCTGGGCATGACCGTCACTAAAACAGACTCTTCATATTAATCTGTATTAATTATGTAACATTTTCTGTAGATTGTTTTCTTATGAACAAAACTTTATATATTGCTGATGAAGGTTCCCAGTCATCCAGGTCATAGTCATATTTTTTTAATTTTCACGGAAATTTTATATATTTTGTTAAGAATTATAACTATATTCTAAATATCAATTATAAAACTATGATGTAATGTTTGGGGATGTAAAATGTTGCAGATTATTGTGTTTTAATGTTTTACAGCAGTCTTAAGAAAGACAAGCTAACAAAATATAAAAACTTAAATTAGCTCAAAAACTGAACAGCGGTTAGAGAAATGACAATACAAGAGACAGAGAAAACAAACCTTTGAGGTATTGCACCGACCAACACTTTAATGTAATTTGGTTATACATCCGGTAAGGAAACAAAAAAATATTATAGACTTAATAAAGACCTATTTCTGCTCATAAAACTCATTCCTCCAATTTGCTGTTACATGCAAACATCTGATTTAACATACAGCCTCCTTTCCCTCCAATTAGGCTTTTACTTAGTAACTAATCAATGTTTTCTGCTTTTTAAATGAACATCTTTGTTATGTATAGACAATTCATATATTTCTTTTTCTCATAAAGTGAGCCTGGGATGACGGAAGTGGAGCCTGTGCTGGACTTTGCCTCTTCGGGCCGCTCTGGGAGGCGAAATGCCCTCCCAGACATCCTTGGATCCCCAGCAGGAGTAAATCCTGGCGACCTGCCTCTTAAACTGGCTGAGCTGTCTCTCGAAGGTTCGAGCACATTCATTTGTTTTCCATCTTTGTCCTTTCTAAGTATTATAGTAATATCAAAATACAAGATATTATATTTTGCTAATTTAAGCACTGTTATATGTATTTCTAAAGAAATGTTTCAAAGACCATATTGAGTTAGAAAATGAATAAAGCCTCCATTTGCTTAAAATCACTGCTTCAGAGAGAGGATGATAAAGTTCATTCAATTCTGGTATGACTTAACAACGAATGTTTTGAAAAGATCTGTTGGACGAGTGTCATAAATTACCTTTATTTTTCTACTTCAGTCTAAATAAAGCTAACGCAGGTATTATAACACAAATGTTTGCCAAGAATGTCTCTCACCCCTATTAGAAGAGTTTTGGCACACTAGTCTGTAAATTCTCCATACTTAAAAGTAGGTTGTGCAAATATATGTATTAATTAACATGAAAATAAAAAATCAGTGATGCGACTGATCTATAAGAAAAAAAAGTGGCCAAAATGCAATTTTTTTAAGCTTTTTTTTTCAGCACAGGGCAGTAATAGTATGGATTTGTGATTAATTAGTTATATATATATATATTAGTTATATTAGTTATAGATACAATAGTAGTCGTATTTAAATCAATGCACATATTCATGTAACATTGAGTCAATAAAATTTATTTTCAGTTTATTTATTTGGTGCCAATTCTCCACACGTCATCTCAACAGAGCAATTCAGACATGAAAGCCTGTGTTTTAAAAATGTGAGGCTCAAGTTTGTCTTTCAAGAACTGGCCAATAGGTCATCAATCAGCATGTCGCATAGCAAGCAGCATCTATGCCAGATCAAGCATGCAGGGGGGGATTTACTATTAGGCAATAATAGGCAGTTACCTACAGTAGGACCCCAAGCCCGGGAGCCACATAAAACTCAGTTTAGACTTAGACAGATTTATTTTGTCATTTTGGATACACAAGTGTAAACAAAAAGAGTTTTAATTAAAAACAGCTCTAGACTATTTCATTTTTAAAGTGCAGCATTGAAAACAGTAACGAATACATTAGAAAAAGTAATATAAACATGACTGTATACTTACAGTTCCAACACAAGTCTCTTCCCAGAGGGCAGCAGGGAGAACAGTCCATGGTGGGGGTGAGAGGGTTCATTTATGATGTTATGGGGTTGGGAAATGCAGCACTGGGATGAAATGTCCATAGTTTACGTCTATGGTTAATAACAATATTCCTTATTTGTGCACATTAATTATGTTTTTGATAAAAAATAATTTAGCTAAAATGTCATCAGAATGCTTATAATATTAAGTGTGTCTCAGTGCTTGGAAAAAATCTTTCATTCCTTTAGAGACATCATGAAAAGTCAGCTGAGTACAAAACATAGAGAGGAAAACAAGAAGAAAAGGGACAAGAAGAGAGGGACAAAACCTAGAACAGATAATGGATGTCTATTCTATTAACATTTCTCTATTTGTAAAATGGTTCTGTTTTATGTGTTGTCTTCTCAATTCAGAGGGCCCCCTGTACGCTTTGCCCAGGGCCCCAAATTTCCTAAATCCACCCCTGCATGCATTTATACTGCACTACTCCAAGAAGTTGTGAATTCAAATATGAAAAAGGGGGCTGCTAACTTGGAATATGGGACTTGGATTTCACTCTGAAATCTGTAAGACCCTTACATTTACACAACCATACTGCATATATTAGATCTGTTTTTGAGTAGTGACTTTGTCATGATGTGTTTTAGAGGTCTGACCCAAAATGCAGAGAACCACTCAGAGAGCAAGGCAAAGCTTTAACAGGTTTATTGAGGTAAGGGTAGAAGGGGGGTATGATCTGGTGAACAGGAACTAGGAAGTCTAGAGGGGATATCAAAACGATTAGTTCAGGGACCGTGGGAATCTTGAATCCCGTAAGTAAAATGCTAGTGAGGGACTCACATTTGGGGGGGGGTTCTTATCTCACTTTGCATCTAGTCTGTGTGGGTTGATCCAGAGAAGAGGGGACATGTTGAAGAGTGGACAGGTAGACATTCTTTGGACCCAGAGGAGCACTGGAGCGGACTGTCACTTGGATTTCCGTGAGGGACTTGACCGTGAGGGACTCAGTGTGAGCTCAGAAAACGATCCTTCCAGGGGAAGAAGACCAAACTTCTAGTATGCAGGAGGACTTCCTGCCCAAGGCAAAGACAAAAACAAGGTTGGACTCAGAGAAACTAAGGCCCCGTCCACACGAAATCAAACCCTGGCCTAAACGCACACATTTTTC